GAGGGTGACCAGATCTTGTACCTCCTCAGCGTCATGATGATGTTGCTGGGAATGGTGCTCATGAAGGTCATTCAAAAATGCCGCTTGCATTGGAACCGGGTGGAGGACGATCCGGCGACGCGTAGAGTGAGGGTCTCTCGCTTGGCTGGTCAATCTTCTTCCAGGACAAGGACTTCTACCAGACCTCAAGGAGGAGGAGATCGAGAACCACGTCAACGTGATGGAGAATGGCAGCAAATGAACCATGGAGGGCAGAGTCACCAAGAAGTACCAGGATGAGTGGAGGCGTTGAAGATGGACATCAAGGGAGAGCGGATCCCACGCTGAATGAGCCACAGGAGGAACCGCCGAATCAAGCTGACCTACCTGGAGGGCATCATCTACAGATCACCCTGACCGGGAGGAGGAGGCGATTCCCCAATGAGCCAACGTGGAAGATCTGGTTCGCGGAGTCCAGCAAGTGCTTCCATCGACAGCGAAGCTGCAGGGGATTGAGGAAGGCCAACCGAGTTCATGAACAACCGGTGTGTGGGGCTTGTCAGAGGGCCACTAGAGGTCAGAGAAGTCTTCAGGAGACGAGCTTCATCTATGAGGACCAACTCGGCAACTTCCACACCGACGCTCGGTGCAATGCGGTCACGGGACCGATGACTGAGATCCGACAGTGCAAAGTCTGCGGATCCTGAGGCGGCTTGAGCCTAGAGCTCGCTTTTGAAGGTTGGTCTCATGCTAGAAGCAGAGACCAAGGAGGAGTGCACGTCCGCAAAGGATGACACGCACAAAACGTAAGGTGTACCAAAACGGACACTTGAAACGAACCCAACTGAGACGGTTGGAAGCCGCTTTTGCACAAGCCTGAAAAAGGTCTTCAGGCTGAAACCTACAGATTCAATACATGGTCACTTTGACTTTGCATGAGCAGTACCTCGACTTACAGTAGTGAAATGGTGATTTGTTTACAGGTATTTATGATGAAGCAGAGACAGATGACAACTTATGGAGTACAGTCCAGTGAAAAGGATACTTGGATGCGTTTTCCAACTATTCCAGGCTATGCCCCTGCTCAGCTTTTTGGGCTTGATGGATGTAGAGTTCTCTGCTTCCCTACTGCACGGCTTTGCGCTCAGAGGGGTGGTAAAGATGGGCGGACGTTACGACAGGCAACAAGCAATGGCCTTCTGAAATCGCTCATTGTTCCTCATTACCTAATAGCGATGACCTCCAACCTACTAACGGGTGCTTGAAACTTGGACATTATCTCTTTTCTTCGCCCCGATGACAATTCCAAACTTGGGCCCAACTCTCAATCCTAGGCCCTAGGCTAAGCTGGCCCAAAAGAACATGTGTTTTGTGATGAACCTGACTGCCCCTGGAGTGGAACAGGTTGATTGCTCCGGATAGTATACTGTAATATATCTGATCCTTGCAGTGACATTCAGCATCTCTGCTTGCATTCGTCACATTTTATCATCATTTTCAGTGCTTGAAGTTGTTTGTAGAGACTGCTCTACTGACACAATGCTCTCTAGGTAGGCATCATGGTCCTTCAATATGTTTTGTTTTTGCCTTGCAAGCAGCATCACCTAGGTCTCACGCGCAGTGTTGTCTTGGGTGGCCTTGGTTTGCTTTGCCTGCAGGGAGAGTAAGAAGCCAAGAGTCTCATTTGTCGAATCCAAGATGCGATGATCCAGTTTCAGCTAAGGACTGGCGTCTTCTACAGACAAACTGAGGTTATTCAGGTGAAGTGAAGTGACCACCAGCGAACACATTCACGAACAGACCAAGGCAGACAGCTGGTCTCTATGAACACCATTGTTTATATATAGGATATTATAGGATAGGATTGTTTGTATGATCCATGATTGATGTGTGAACAACGTCGATCAGCTACATTTTGCGTGCCACTCATACTCGTTGCCTTTTGGATGCAGAATTCTAATCTCAGCGACATTCAAAAGATGAGGGTGGTGATGTTGCTGAGAAAAGTGTTGGACTGTGGCATTGCTTTTGACCAATTGTTGATATATACATGTGTTTGCGAGTGTAGCAAGCGGAGCGTGGGGACGGGGACGGACCACCAGGAGAATTGTGGCTTTGCCTTGAAAAGGTTGGGCAAAGCACTGAGGAAGTGAGCAGGAAGATGCGACAGATACGCAGTTTATTCATGTTTCCGTGCCACAGATCATGGCTGACTAGGAAATCACAGGTCGTCTAGCTAGCTGGTTTAATCACACTTGTACCATTTTTGTCGAAGTGCTGAAGTAGCAATTCGTGCGGGTGCCACAAGGCCGAGGAATCTCCTACCTCTTGGCAGGGCTCTATTGCGTCGCTTTTGCCCGCTTGAGCGGCAGAACAAGTCAATGTTTGCAAGTCGAGCGGGTTTTCCAGCTGATCATGGAAGTGTTTTTTTGTCACATATGAGCACACACTCAGAGCGACATCAAGTAAAAGCTTAGACAACAGTGACACTGGTAGCTTTGCTTACTTCGGATCCTTGGGTTTGGGCCAGGCTGGCGCCCGGACAGCAGCCGTGGCGCAGGACCATCATGAGCCATTCCTCTTCACATCTAACACATTTACTCCGCATGTAGCCCCATCAAAAAATCTATTTCTGAAGAAAATCCGTTCAAGACACAGGCGGTTTTGGCAAGAACTGACATGATGCTATGTGGGGCAAGATTCCCTTCTCTTCAGGCAACCGCAGCTGGCGAGATTGTGTCGAGCACATTTGGATTTACATGGTGCGCGGCTGGCACAAAGGGTGATGCTGTCCATCCGTTTCATTACCCTCTCAGGCAACTGTGCCACAAACCATTTAGATTGGAGTTCATATGAGCCACGGTCAAAACATGCGAAGACCACTTTAGTAAAGAGGGGTAGGTTTGTGCACAAAACCCTGCAAAACGATAAGGTCCACCTCAAAACCGATAACCCCAGCGCTGTATATGATCATAAGTATGCGACGAACTCAAAACACTGTAAAACGATAAGGTCCGACTCAAAACCGATGACGTCCATTTTTTTGTTGAAGAAGAATAAGGAGTTTTGACCGTCCCTCATATCATTGCGACCGCACAGGGGGCCACGCTAAATCTCCAGACCCGGTTGACCCGGTTGACCCAGTTGACCCCAAGTAGCTACTACTACCACTACTACCACTACTACCACTACTACTACTACTACTACTACTACTACTACTACTACTACTACTACTACTACTACTACTTGTACTTGTACTTGTACTTGTACTTGTGCTGCTGCTGCTGCTGCTGCTACCACTGGCACTACCATCCTTGCCATCACACAAAGTCAATCGGGTCAACTGGGTTCAACTGGGTCCATCACCACTACTGCCGATGCACTCCTTTAGCAAGGTTTTGAAAAACAGCTTTTTAAGCACAGCACCGTACAACACCATCCCTTGTAGGTACCTTTGCTGTGCAGCTTTACTTGTGGGAAGCCTGGTTTCCTTCTGGGCCTGATTCCTAGAGTTCAGCTTGGGCCTGGAGCAAGGTCTGAAGTAGGTTCAAAGAGACTGTGACAAGTCCAGAAAATTCGTTCAATGTCTCACTTGCAATTTTTTTCACAGAGAGTCGGCACACTTTTGGAGATATTGAATAATTATCATTGAACCATAAAGCACACAATTTATCACACTTCTAATTGTCGGCGTGAGGATTTGAATGGATTATATACTGAATCCTAGACTCTTTGCTTCAGTGTTGCAGGCCTGGCATGGACAGCGCCGAAGCGACTTGCTGCAGAACCCTGGAGGGCAGCGATCCTCAATCTTCGATGCCAGCACTCCTGAACGATGTTTGTCAATGTTTTATTCTGGACGATCACATTTTTGACAGTTCAATTCCGTCCAAAAGATCATAAATCACAGGGCGCTGTTTGAGTGCTTCGTTTTGCCTATATTGTTGTCCAACAGAGAAGGGCACTCCCACTGGCCACACAAATCAAGGCCAGACCTGGATGCCTACTACATATCTTCCTGAAAGCCCCGCTATCCGGGCTTCTCACGTCTCACTGTTTGAAATCAGAGTGCAAGAGGACCAAGATGGCTCATTCTTCCATGTTGATTTTTGGTTGGAACGCGGTGATCGACAACTGCAACATGTTTGCCGTACTTGACTCATGACTCATTTCGACTCTGAGCCTCTTGCAGATTTCATGACTCGTCATTTTCGCCTCAAAGGCAACTTAATTTTGAGCGTCATCTCTTGATGCTTTTAACATTGCTGCGCTGCTTTTGTTTGAACATCACGCGATGATACGAGATATAAAATCCAGACTTGATGAGGTTTGTGTGTCTGATCTTGGATTTTGCCTCCAGTGGCACAGCAGAGATAGCTTTCTCACCACCAATGAGGTCTCCAGGACAGTGGGCCGATCTCAAAAAGGCAATCCGGAATCATGACAGCTGAGGAAGCTAGCTCGTCTTCAACCTTGGGTTTTATTTCTGTCACTGCATCACTGCATGGAGTAGCTAGCCCCCGCTGTTTCAACGTATATATATATATATATACACATACACGCTTGAATTCAGTCAGGTGCACAGCGCGCCAGCACGGATTCGGACACAGCAGCCAGCTTGGCTTGAGGAGCTTGAGGATGTCACGGTGTTCTTGGAACTGTCTCATCGTGTCTCATCATGTCTCATCGCTCTTTGGTTGCTAGGCCTGAGCCCCTGATGAGTGATGATTGGTTGGACGACTCAGCTTATTTATCTTATTTGGTTTTGCATACTTGCCAAGAGCAAAGGTCTTTTCAATGTACAGCCAGAATCACCTAGAGCCTAAAGGACAAAGGGACAGCCTCACAGCCTCAGGCTTGATGGTGACGATGCAGTTTGGAGCAAGTTAGATCCTTTCCTGCAGGCAGTGACTCCCACACATACGCACACGGTTTGCACCTGTATCCACGAAGTGAGTTTAAAGCCAAGGAAATTGCAGACGCATGGGCAGAGGCACTGCGTTTTTCTAGTTAAATGTCCGCCAGAGCTATTGTTATGACTCAGTATAGAGGCAACATGGCGTAAACTTTCAGGTGGAGCAAGCAAGACTTGAAGTGGAGCAACGTGAGAGGCGACGTTTGTTAGATTCTGATTTCTGGAAGTTGAGGCCGAAAGGCTTTTGGAGTTATGCATTTCTTATGTTTTCCATCTTGTGTTTTCCAAGCCCAGAACAGGGAGAAGCGTGCTGCATTTGCACAGGGACTTGGAGCTTCGAGAAGCAGCCCTCCGGTGTTCGGAGGCACTTTCTGCAGCATGACATGAATTGCTGGATGTTGGTACATGTACACTGTCCACAAACTAGTAACTAGATGTAACTAGTAAAATGACAGAATATGTCTAAAGTCTGTCAGTGTCGTTGATGTCACAGCAGGAGCGGCATCGTGGTTCTGTACGCAAGCTTGCTGAGATGAGGCGTTCCCAGCAGCAATATTAAGCAGCAAAGCTGGCCCCACATGTTTGGCAAACCGGCTCTAGCAATGGTAGTTGCATGAAGATGCATGAAGCTGCTCAATCTGTCTCATGGAATCTTAAAGATTATGATGGTGACAGAGGAAAACATCGGACCAATCTTAATGGGGTTTGATTGCATAAGCTGGACTGGAGTGGGGACTGTGGCTGAGGCGTCGTTTGGAAAGCTACAGCGATGAGCTTGAGGAAGCCATGGCAAAAGTGCAGGCAGGATGCGACAAGAGAAGGATGAATAGAGGTTGACAGGTAAATTACGGAAAAGACGGTTGCACCACTCCCTGTACACCACGAAAAGGTCTTTCTTGTACAATTTCAGTTGTATTTTCAGAAGCCACTGCGACGGCCGCATGCTCCAGGCGCAACAAGATCTCCTGCGTGAGGAGCGCCGTCGCAGTGGCGAACTGCATGCAACCTGGATCAAGATTAGAGCTCAGAGCCAGGCTTAGCTGGCGTTCACAACACTGGGATGTATCCGAAGCCCCAGCGTGATGCTACCTATAACAGGATTAGTATTTGGCCTTGGTCCGTTGTAAGGAGACTAGCCCACTTGACTTAGTTTGCATACTTTTGCTGCGCATTTCTGCGGTTGGACATTGAATGTTGTGAGAAGGTGTGGGAAGCATTTGCTCCCAGTCTAGGGGTTGTGCTGGCAGCATGCAAAGTTGTAGCATGTTTAGCTAGTTCCACTCTTGGTTTTGCTTCAACGCACACCCTTCGCTGACCAATCTAAGAACCAGGGTTGTTTGTTCATCTTTTGAGTTGTTAAAACTCAGGCTCGTGCCAGGCAAATGCTGGATGCAACTCGCAAAAACGGTGCTTCAAAGCATTCTAGAAGAGCTTTGACATAATGTCACTCTTTCAGATCTTGAGCCTCTCTCAAGTGCAAGGTGCTCCGAGATGGCGAGAAGGGGAACGGTCGTTGCCTTGCAGAGCTTGCTTGACTCACTCAGACTCATTCTTATGTTTTGCAGGAAAATTCTGCCTAAGCTAATCCAATCCAAGTTGTCTTTGCAAATGGAGCTGACTTAGCCAGTTCCTTCTCAGGATTGTACCTGTGAGCCCATCACCATAGGTTAATGACCGTGCAGAATTCGGCGTGAAAAGACACTTTGGTAGCAGGAACTGAACCAACACAGATATACTGAGCGCCACGTGCACACTTATACATGCACAGTGCATGTGATGAAGCATGCACGATCCAATTTTGATACAGTTCTGAGTGAACACCCCAACTTGCCTCAGCTTTAGCAGTACGACTGTGGGATTGTATTTTCAGATATCACCGGTGGAATTTTGTACCTCGCTACCATGGCAGTGCTAAGTACGATGGCCACTGAGCAGCAACGCTGCAAGTGACACTAGTGACTAGTGAGCGACATGCGAAGTACCGCTGGCCGAGCAGCCACACATGTTCTTTGTTGATCACGAGCTCATCGCCACTTTGTTGCGCTTGCCACTGTTTACAGTCTGCCTCATCGCAGCTGTTCTCTCAGCCTGTCTCCTTTGTGCTTTAGTGGAAGAACAAGTCAATCCAAACCATACTGCACACATGGCATTGAACCCAAACTAAAGGAAGTGCACTTGTTGGAATCTTCTTTTTGCCCAAGCTAGGCAGATGCAAGGCGTGAAAATCACTATCGTGCTCACACACTCTCTCTCTCTCTCTCCATCAATGTCTTTGTGGGAGGTAGGCTTCCCTATTTCCTATGTTATATCTTGTTGAAGATAGATCTCATATGTGGCACACCACTTAGAAGTTGCGACAGGTGCCACTTGCGTGGGTGGTGGCCCAATTCAAACACTTCATATGTCCATGGCCGGGGTCAACTCGAATCGGAGATGGCAGCATACAGGTGTTTTTCCCGTCAAGGTGCTCTGCTAATGACTGGTCGATGTCGCCATATTAAGACTTTTTGGCATAGGACACCAAGTTCCTTTGTGGTTTTTGGCTTTCACCGGGGTGGAGATCTATTTGAATCAGGACCAGGGTATAGCCCTTAAGCAATTATGTTTTACTTGTTGTGCTTCTTACAGTTTTGTTTGGTGCAGTGACCATAATCTGACAAGTCTGCTCACAAGCAGAGATAGTCTCTTACGTTGGCACACTGCTGAGAGCATCTCACCCTGGAAAGCTCGCAGGTAGTTAGCCGTCAGCTGTAAGGCTTAGAGCGTTTGACGAACGTGGAGTTTTAAGAAGACAAGACACTTGTTGGAACGACTGATCACAAGCAGTTCGGCTAAATCACAACTAAGATGGTGCTGATTGCTATGCCCTACCTATATGATTCTTCATGATTCTTCATTTCAACCTTAAGAGGTGAAGTTGGAGTTTTTCAGAACTGCTTTACGCTTCGCGCCATGCTTTTCGGAGAGCCGGGTGTTGATCCACGGATTCAGCCCTTGCACCGTTTCCCTGATGAATGGGATCTTCCCTGGGCCAGCACTTACCACAGCTCCTTGGTGGAACACGGAGATGCATATCATGAGATATCATGTGAGGGACTTGTCGACCACTGGCAAAGTACATTAGGAATCATTAGACCGTCTATGTTTGATTAATTTTTGCAAAGCTGGGTTTGCTACAGCCGTCCTTGTCGTGCAGATTTATGTATGATTACGATGACTACGTCACTACTGGAAGCAGAGTGCTTTTCACAGCTTAGGCTACCAGCCTCATCTTGGCTTCAGGCGCTTTGGAGACCGAGGTGCTGCATGGGAGTCGCATAGTGTTGGCGCTGCGTTACTGTGCCACGCATTTGTTTTAAGATATGTTGTGCCTGTTCCATTCGTTCCTTGTGATATTGTGAGTATCAATGTAACTCCTCAGTTTCTTCGTGGGTAGAATATCTAAGTTTGCTAGTTGCCAGGTTTCGCACCAGATCCCTACCACTGCTGGGCACCCGATGCAGAATTGCACGCCTACGCCTTCGTAGTGCCAGGCCTCCGTTGCTGGATTCATCACTACAGTATGCACACACACCCCGGCCGTCCCTTTCGGTTGTTGCGTGTATGTGTAGGGGTTGCCAAACATTGTAGTTGGAGAGAGTTGAAATTGTAGTGATTTGATTTTCGTGATATGCAGTAAGTATCTACAATATAGTATTTATAGTGTTTGAAGACGGGCGATATCGATTCTAAGGTCTCATCAGGTACTGAGGTGTTTGTGTTAAATCAAACGTGACGCACGTCGTTGTTTTGGTGAGATCAGCTACAATTGCAAGGCAACGATCACACATCGGTGGTGCCAGAGGATTGGAATGGTTGGCTGCCTCCACATCCAGAGCAACAACGGCAAAACACTGCTCAATCCAAGAGCGGCAGGCGCTGACCATGGACTACAAAATGAAGTTGTGAGCCAGGAAGCTGTACATATATTCTATACTTTTGAACCAACAAGTTTTTTTTGAAGCTCTTGACTGAGAGTGCCGGTCACATCAATTGAACGTGAATGCCAACAATGGGACAATGGTAGAGATGTCGCTCCAGTGTAGTGCTTGGTAAGCATGTCACAGGACCAAAAAGAAGCGAGCAGAAAAAGCAAAGATCAGCGAGGAGGCGGCAATCAGTTAAAAGCCAAAATGAAACCTGACAACCAACCGTCAAAGTGCACAGCGTGCTGCCGTTTGAGAGCCGCTATTCTTATCAGAAAAACTACTATTGTTACTACTAGTAAGGCACCTGTTACTACTAGCGTGGCACTTGTTACTAGTAGGGCACCTTTCAGAGTTAAAACTTCAATCTTCCGAGATTGTTGAGGTTGCACGGAGAATGCAATCCCAGCTCCAATCGGCAACTCGTGGTGCCACTTATCTGAAGTGAAGTAACTTACAACAGAGCTGTGTCTTGCGAGCTTTTGCTTTTGAAGAGGTGGCTTGAAGGGTTTGACAGGTGAGACGGGACATGACTAGCCAAGGTCTCTTTGCGGAAGATCTTTGGGAAATATGCCACTTGGATTTGACACATACAAGAATGCCGGTCTTAGGCAATACCACCCCCAAAATAAACCCTGAGGCCCTGACCGTAGCAACAACACTTTCTTTATTTGACTTTGGGATTCTACTAGTAACAAGTGCAACGCTACTAGTAACGAAGACATTACTAGTAGAAAGAAGCTACTAGTAGCTATTTGCTACTAGTAACAGAAGCTACCCCTACGAGGCCCATTGCTGGAAACCATCGCAAGCCTGCGCACACATGAGCAACCACTTTTATTTGGTGACTGAAGTAGTCTACAGCATGCTCGATTTGTTTGTCCAACATCACTATTCGCTGGTGAACGAGATAAGGGCCCCACATTAACAAGATACATGTTTTGATGACATCAAAGCAGTCTGAACGAGATACTGTGATCTCCTACTAAATGGAGATAAGGCCCCCACACTAATAGAAAGTATTTAAGTATATTTAAGTTTGGTAACAAATAAATGCCGCCGTTCACATGTAGACACTCAGGATGCTGATCGCAGTGGCACACTGACATCGTGGCTCAGTTGGCAAACCCATAAAGCTAAACCACCGTCGAAAAGTGGCAACATGCTGCCAATCTCCTATTATGATCATGTTTCTCCTGTTATTTACATTTTAACTGAACGCATTAGCTCATCATGTGATTTTATGATTTGCAATTGATTCGGTTTTGCCAGAAGGACCGAGCTGAAGAAGCTGATTCGAAAGGAACTACGCATCAGCACGGCAGTGATTAGTGATAGCGATGTGGAGAATTTAGCAGCTGCGCTTGATGGCGACCGCACCGGTCCGCCAGCTGAAGACAACAGACATGTTCACAAGAGAATCTGTTCTATTTCTATGGGATCGATTGACCTGTAATATTGTGGCATGGCCTATTGAGCCTTAGTTCAAGCGCTAGTATGCAGATGCTGACTTGAGACCACGCTAATCTAAAGACCACATTGGCTTGAATTGTGCATAAGTCGAAATGTTATTGTTGGAAGTAGTGACCCTGTCAGGCAATGTTTCTGTGGAGGAGCTGTTGTCTTTCATCGAGAGGGGCAGCGCGACCTTCTTCTCGGTTGCGCCCCCGAAGGAGCCATGGAACATGACTCTTGACCAAGTGGAAATCCTTTGGACACAACATGCCGAATCCTAAATACATGAGGCATCACCCCAAGATGCGGTGGACCTTCACCTTTCCAAATGTCAGCTACAACTTCTCGTTTCTTAGTGACTCTGGGAGTGCAGGAGGCTTCTTTGGATGACGAATCAAAGGAGGACATGCAAAGGTTGCAGAGGTTATTGTAAAGCAACTTTCAATTGCGCTTCACCTGTCCCAGGAAATTCCGAAATCCAGGGATAGCAGCCGAGAAAATGATGATGACAGTGATACATCGGAGAAAAAGGCAATTGAAGACAACCAAACATAAACTCCTCGACAGAGTTTGCTCGTTTGCTCCTCCAATCCTTGCCAACGTCTGTCGGCCAGGCTCCTGTTGGCGTAGCGCAACACCAATCGCCCCATGCTTTCTTATTTCTTTTGTTTCACGTTTTGTTCATTTCTATTTCCAAGAACTGTTGTGACACCTCGATGCAAACCACTTAGGTCGAAGACGATTTTGGCATGCACAAGACAGCCCTACAATCGCTTATTTTTTCGTCCATTGACTCCACCACTTGGAGGCAAATAGAGAAAGAAACAAATAGAAACAAGCGTAAGGGCGTAAAGAGCATTGGCCCTACTAGTAACAAGTGCCACGCTAGTAGTAACAAGTGCCTTACTAGTAGTAACAAGAAGCTACTAGGAACAAGCGCCACGCTAGTAAGCATTTCACTTCAAGTTGCCAGGTAGCCTCATCACCCTGAACACCCCGCGGAAAAACCAGCGGACTCGCAAAGTGAGTATGGTGCCGAGGGCAAAGGACGGATATGGCAACAGTATTGAACAGTGGCATCACAAAAGGAGATGACCCGATTGGGTGAAATTGCTTTGCAACATATGTTTGGTCTCAATCTCCGACAGGACCCACAGGAAGAGAAGGGGGTATACCTTTGTGTGGCTCCAGCACAGTTTTTGGGCTTGTGAGTGCAAGCTGTGACTGTGATGACTGTAATGTGCTTTGCCAAACTTCTGTACTGCGCATGTGGGAAATCAACAGAGTGCATGGCTCACTTGTTTTTGTCTATTCCCCAAATGCCAGCACCCTTTTGGAGCAAAGCCAAGGGGCATGAGCCTTGATCCTGCGACAGGATGAATCTGACATGCACAGCGAGCCAAAAGCAGATCGAGACATCGAAGGAAGCTTTGCTTGAATTCGGCTGCTGGCCTGTAATCGATGTAGTTTTCACCATTGGTCAGACAAGGCAGCGCATATTGGCTGTGCTGGCCCCAAAGGATCATTGTTCAGTCCTCACAACTTCAACCCTTCGTCGTTTCTGATCTTTGAGGCGTGGTTCCAAAGCAACGGGAAGACTACAGCCGCGCCAGAGGAGAAAGCTGTGCCAAAGATACTGAACATTCTGAAAGAGTGAGATCGTTCCATTCCAGATCATTCATGAGTCATGAATCGTTCATCATTTGCTTTGCAGATTGTTGCAGGACTGATAGGATGAGGCGCTTGCCGTCCGTCTGAACCCCGGATCTATCAATTATTTCTTCAAGAAATGTTCTTGAATGCATCAGGTTGATCTATGTGCATATTCGACTCCGAAAACCAAATGAATATAGCAAAAGAAAGATATAATGTTTAATTCCTATGTTGAAGAACAAGATTCTGCTTTTTTATGATATGTTGGGAGGAATGTGCGTTGAAATAATGTTGACCTATAATTAATGAAGGGGCTCGGTATAAAATTAGTCGATCTGCGTTTTGATTAATAAAGGTATCCGAAATACAATTAATATTTGTTATTAGTATGTATTTATATTTTTTTGTTTGTTATTATTATTATATCCCCCTGGGAATAAATCCTATAAAATGAGGAGCTCGAATCCTAAAACTAGGGGTTATTTTATACGGGATTAAATGGTTATGTTTTGTTATAGAATGAAAAATATATATATATAAGTAATATTTTTGAATATAATTATGGAATATATTTATATTTTATAATGGCTTTTGGTGGTTATATTTTGAATTAGGTAAAGGTAGGTTTTAGATTTTATAATTTTATAATTTAACAATAATTATTATTTAAATATTTATATTTTTATTTTATAAATTTTGATATTTGGTAGGAAATGTAATTTATAGACGTATTATTGGCTTGTGTGAGTGGGTGTTTTTATTTTATAGAAATGTAAGATAATGGGAATATATTTTGATTGTTTCTGGAAAATATGGGCATTTTTGGTTGTGTGTGGTCGTAAGTTAGCCTATGAAATTTAGAAAAGTGAGAGCAGAAATAATCTTTTTTTATGAATCTTTATGAATTAAAGAAATGAATATTTATTCTTAATTATTAATAATCTCCAAAAGTAAAGAATTTAATTAGAATTGATTAAAGATTTGGCTGATTTTATGCTTCTGGGCCATGATAGTACTTCTAAATTATTCGGTTATATTTTTTATTTTTTAGGACCTTTATTTTATGATTGCTTTTAAAAGTCTATATAGTATTTTCTGTGGGGTAGACCTGTTTTATGAAATCATTTTATAATGGTGCATTGTGATGATTAAGGGTGGGTTATGTCTATAAAATGCTAGGCGTAGTTCCCACGGGGATGTTGTTATTTTATATTATTTTTATATTATACATATTAATACAAGATTCGGGTGCGTGTTGGGATCGAGCTCCCCCAAATTTATTTGATCCACGCACTCTTTAAGACAGGATCCATCTTTAAATTTGGCAGAAACGTTGGTCTGCAAGAACTCAATCTTGTGCTTTTAGGACAAAATTCGGGTGCGTGCTGGGATCAAGCTCCCCCAAATCTATTTGACTAAGCTCCTCCAAATTTATTTAACACACGCACTCCTCAGAAGGATCCATCTTTAAATTTGGCAGAAACGTTGGTCTGCAAGAACTCAATCTTGTGCTTTCAACTCAAAATTCGGGTGCGTGCTGGGATTAAGCTCCCCCTAATCTATTTGACGCACGCAGTCCTCAAGATAGGATCCATCTTTAAATTTGGCAGAAACATTGGTCTGCAAGAACTCAATCTTGTGCATTGGAATGCGGTGGAGCCCATTGTTCAAATCCAGGCAAGTGCCCTTGCCGGAAGGACAACAAGGACGTTGCTAGGTATATTTTCGGGGAATCTTTTCCGTATACGCAGGCTAGTCGCGAGCTGAGCAGAGAGAGCGCGCGAAGATATAGGCAATGGCTGCTGCATGTCACCTGAAGCTACTTGGGCACGTTTTTGTTTCTTTTGGGCAATCGATAAGAAAATGACTAGTATAGTGGTTGATAAACTACATCTTAAATGAAGAAAATATTATCTGTAAAGCGGTGTGGTTGCCATGCATTTGTGCATTTTACACAGCTTACCTTTTGGTGCTCAAAATGAGATTGCACAAGTTTCCATAGAACTTGGGCAGATCGTCGCCAAGAATATAAAACAAATCAACAGCAATAGAAAATGTACTTGCAAGAATTTTCAATATACCTCATAAGATTCTCATAAATATCGTTTACTATATCTACAGTGAAGACCTTCACCAGCAGTAGACATAAACAGACAGACAAGGACTCATACACCCACACATCACACACAAAGACCCACGCACTACCTCAACTTACTCGGACACACACACACAAACAGAGACTCATACACACACAGAAATAGATACACACATACAGAGACCCACACACTACCTCAACTCACTCGGCTTAACACTTCACACTAAACACTTAACAAATAACTCACACTCTGACTTCCTACGTGATGAAAAATGCTTTCGGGCCACTCGTCGTCTAGTTTTCCTACGAATCTTCTTGAGTATTTGGAGAATATATTTTCGAATATTATAGAATACATATGAAATTATATTTACGAAAGGTCGCCTCCGAGGAGATAAATCATCATATCGAATATTGCATTTTTTTCCTGCCTCTCGTGGTCTTTTCTCTTCCCGCTATCCTACCTCTCGTGTCTCCCTCCTCTCAAATTATTATTATTTTATAGTATTTTTATATTATATATATAAATTATAAATATTTTGTTATTGTGATTTAATTTATAATTTTATTTATATATGTATTTATATATATATATTTATAATTAATTTATAATATTCAATTATTTTTTATTTAATAAAATAATTTTAATAATATATTTATTTATTTTTAATTATATATATTTATATATATTATTAATTTATGTTAAGTATAATTTAACAAATTATATAAAATTTAAATATATATTTTTTTTATAAATAAATATCTATATTTTTTTTGCGAATTTAGTTATATGAAATCTAAAAATATATAATTATATTTTAAATTAGGTAATTTTATAATATGGTTTTTTCTAATATTATAAATTAAAATATAATCGAATAAAAATACAAATTTTTAAAGCAACATAATCGTTTTTTTTATTTTTAATTTTAGATTCTTTATAATTAATTTATGGTTTCCGTCGCAATCCGAATCTCCCCCCTTTAATAATTATATTATTTATATATTTCGATTTTTAAAAATATAAAATAATTTATTTATTTTATATATTTTGTTATATCATTAAATAATTCCGTTGCGTTCCGATGCCGTCGATCGCGGAATTAAATTCCGTTTTATCTACCGCAAATAATCTTTATTTATTTCGAGTTTGTTCGTAACGATCGACTCTAGGTTTATATTTTTCATTTCATTTTTGCAATTTTTTGGATGCGTGCGTCAGCGCTTTCCGCTTTCACCTTCGAACGCGTACACAAAGGAATAAAACTACCATTATATTTTATTTTTAATAGCTATACGCATAAGCGCGCTAGGCAAACCCATTCTAGCTTATTTAAAGTCTTCATTAAAGTTTGGCCTTCATTATACGAGCCAAATACCTAAAGATTCTTATCCGGACCTTCAACGAATCCATCCTCGCCATTCTAGTACTTTAGAAGTTCTGGTAGATGCATCTTTCTCACCGGGTGATGGCCATAATATCTCAGGAACCATTATCCTCTTGGCGGGTTGCCCTATCCAATGGGAGTCAAAAAAACAGAGCCTTATGGCCTTATCAACGGCAGAGGCTGAATTGACAGCCATTGTCGATGGATTACAAACCGGCAGGTCGGTGCGTGCTTTGATCGAGGACCTCGAGATCTACAATGACAACCGGGCGGCGATTGTTTTGGGTTCGGGATCGGGCGGCGGTTGGAGGAGACGCCACTTGCGAATGAGAGCAAGCTGCCTAACGGAAGCTTTGAAAGTTGGGGAGCTGTCGCTGAGCCACCGCATGGGGAGTTCACTATGGGCAGATGGACTCACAAAACCTCTTCCTGCTCATCATCTTGGCCGTTTCTGTCGAGGAGTTTGGCTAGGTGGTCCAACTTTGAGCGGTGGCGAGCAGGGGAGTGACAAGAAGGTGACAGTTCTGTCGAACCCCATGGGTGGTCAAGTGATCTGTCCCTGTTGGCTGCAGGAGTTGCGTTGTTGCCAGGAGCTCATGCGTCAGAGACGTGTGAGAAAAGGGTGACCCAAGAAGACCACGAATCGTCATGGCGCGATCAGGGCTGGATTCTCTTGCTCGCTGGGCTGGTGTGCTTGCTTCACTTCATCAAGGAGTTGGGTTGGGAGCTGGTCAAACGCCTGATTTCCAAGGGAGAGTCATTGAAAGTCACGCTGCTGAATGATCAGGCTACACTTCCAGTCAAAGGCTCTCAGGGCGCTGCTGGCTGGGACTTGGCATCTTCTGTGCAAGTCTCTCTTCAACCGGGAGAACGTCGCTTGGTGCCCCTTGGCTTGGCTATAGACGTCCCCCTCAGACTCCTACGGAAGGATAGCCCCTCGAAGCTCTTTGGCAGTTCGAGGAATTGACGTTGCAGATTGTTGCAGGTGGCGTGGTTGATTCTGACTATCGAGGGGAGATCAAGATCATCCTGGTGAACAATAGCCAGGAGACCTTCACGGTGAACGTGGGCGATAGAATTGGCCAGCTGATTCTGGAGAAGATTTCCAATGTAAAAATCCAGTCAACAGCCTCTCTATCACCTTCGATCAGAGGAACGGCAGGCTTTGGCAGCTCAGGCGTGGGGGCTATGACGTCTTCATCGTCTACCAACTTGTCTGAAGAGCTCTATGGCACTGGGCAGCCGGCGGTGAGACGGTTGACGCCAGAGCATGATGTGACACGGGACGTTGATGAACCCCGGGAAGAAGGCTTGTCTGTGGGGCCGCATGTTTTCTTTGATGGGGTTCTCTTTGCCAGGGAGGAGGAGACATTGCCCAGTTTTCTTCGTCGCCTGAGGCGAGAGGATCTGAAGCATTTCAAGTGGATGTTTCCTGAGTCCCTCATCGAAGAGCTTGAAGCTCCAGCCAGGAGATCACCAGTGTCCTTTCAGCTTGAGGCCATCCAGGGTACCCTCAACATCCTGATGTTTAAGCACGAGGACTGGCGAAAGAAGCTCTATGATTCCGAAGTGAATGCACCTCCCTCCAATAATGGCATCTCAGCTGGAGTTGTGACGCTGGGAAGACTCGAAGATGGACGCATCTTTGCTCGGGTCGACAATCGCCGTGGAAACAGATCCATGAGCTATCTCAAGCAGAATTGGAAGGGGGCCAGTGTGTTCTATTCCATGTCAGGCCCGAATGTCAATGCTTGCTGAGCCGAGAATGTCACGCTCCAGGGTGGCTGTGCTGAGAGGGGATTGTGCTTAGGCCCTAGGCCTTTTCATGTGTGGCCTCGGACATTGAAAGGGAAATGTCTGATGGTCGATCTTTTCACGTGCGGAGGGCTGCATTTTTGAAACCTCTTTCAGTCCGCCCCCGAAGATCCAACAACGAAAGGGGCTTGAGTCTTTTGGAACTCGTCCTCCTGATGTCCACGATTGCATCGGGAGGGGAGAGCACTGCGGCGAGTTCGATTTTCGCTTGATGCCATAAGACATGGTCAATACATACTTGAAGCCCTTTTAGTTTCAAGAGAAAAAAGGAAGGCGTTTCCTTTTGTCTAATAACAATAAGAAATTCAATACGTTGCATATCGCCAACGTTGCCCCTTCTTTCGCCCGGACGGCCCTAACATATTTCAACCGGCCCACCATGGCCCTCCAGACGAAGGCTTCATGGCCTTGCTTTTTGCGTCGCAAAACAATTTGGCACAGTCAGACTTCGTCAGGTGCAGTCCAGCAAGCCCGCGCACAGTCATTACATAGCCTTTTTCGCGGGCGCCTTTTCAAAACAGCCCCTGATACAGCACTAGAAAACTGCAGGCGCGAGGGCGGAGTCAACAGCACATCCGCCTTTCATCAAGAACAGTGCCTTCCCCTCATCGGTTAGATCCCGCCAATGAATACCCCTCCAAGTCCCAGCCGGGGTGAGTGAGGGGCCACTCCTGTAAATAGCACGCGGCGCGACTTTAAGGCCACACGAGGGGCCACCCCGCAACTGTCAGGGCCACATGCTTGTCCATCCCAATGAATGCCACGACACGGGTGCCATGAGCAGGGCCACTCCTGTTTCTTTATCAACACACGCAAAGGCATGGCAACATGCTACGCAATTCCGGAGCAGCCATGCCTTACCAACAAGCACGTTGCCACGTGGAAGGAAGCAATCCATTCTGTCGCCGCAAAAACGTTTGGCTTCGTCATGGTATTACGGTAAAACCAGAGTATAATTACTATATTATGTATTATATATATATAGTATTACAATATATTATATTACATACTAAGCTATTTATATATATAGGTATTTACACAAATGAGATTGCTGAAATCAATCATCGATCCAAATATATCAATACACATCAACAAATTTCCCATGCGGAAATTGCAGCGAAGTCTGGCAATGCCTCCAATTTTTATCTCTGGTGATCTAGTGCCAGCGAAAAGTGCTTTGAGCAGCTGAAAGCCATACAGGGCAAAGAGGGTGTAAGCTTTACAGCAAGTGAGATACATTATGTAAGGAGTGCCACGCTGCAACTTCTGGTGGCTCGTCAATTTGTTCGCTTTATTGCGAGCCCTCAGAGGTGTTCACATTCGTGAGGCAGCGGTTGCAAAACGTCAGAATGTGTCGGAGTCTATGACTTCACTAAGCAATGCTCTGGCCTGGAGCTTGCACTGATATGCACTATGACAAAAACTGTGCATTGGCTTGAGCAAACACACTCAAGAATGTTATCAGTTGAAACACATTACATCACGATCTGTGGGCGTAGGCAAGCTTCGCACGCCAATACGATTGCCGCTTTTGATCCGTCAGTATAAAACAGAATTCTCAGGATCAATCATGTAAAGTCGGCTGCACACTTGTTAAAGGGCCAAACTGCCCTGTTACCTGAATCAGCTCATCTCTATCTCTGCCCTCTCTCTTTTTCTCTCTTCTCTCTTATCTCTTCTCGCTTCTCTCTTCTCTCCCTCTCTCTCTCTCTCTCCATGACGCCCCTTGTGCTGAGGCAGCAGCTGAGCCTGAGGCCAAGGATCATGCAGTGTCCACCTTCTAAGTCAAGCTGCTAGATGCTGCTAGGAAGAGCGAGCTGTCGATGGATCCAATCCACTTTTAAGGTTGCGGATGTCATACTGCAACTGTTCCATTCGATGAGTCATATCTCGAACACGTAGGAGGATGTAAATGACATCACCTTGCGCTGACAAAAATCGGAGGCTGCTTCTGCAAGAACTGGCTGTTTCCTATCTATATTCTGAAAGCCGTTGTTTGATTTGCTGTCTAGCTTTCTATTTGATGAACAAATACATCAAATTATATCCACATATGATTATACACATATATGTGTACAGTAAGTTGTACTTTGAGGCCTGATTCACTACTGAAGTGTGCGGTTCTGTGAATTTTGGTCCAGTTGCCTTTAGACACATCACCGCGTAAGCTCAGAAGACCAGTGAGGAGCTCATGTGGCGACAACTCACCTTTGACACTGCAAAGCCAAGGTTGGCTGCAAAAAGGAAAAAACCTAAATTTCTGAATGCTCGGTGTTGTCCGCACATGCTGGGATATGCTTTTTGTTGTAAAAGTGCAGTATTGCCGGTATTGCTTGTACTGAAGCTCACTAAGGCTGCCACCGCCCAAGTCCACATCCAAGATGTTGAAAAGTTCAAACTTGTTCGAAATGTCCACCTGACAACACATATAAATACAAATAATTAATAACATGGAGCAAATCAAGGGCCTTTTATTGCAACTGTCTTTCAGACTGCTTTTCCTTTTATCACGCCAGGCCACATCTGCATCCTCCAAAACTCGAACAAATTCCGGATCCTGAAGCCACGCTTGAAAGATCTCCCTGGTGATGTTGATGTTGCATTCCTTGATGACCAAACCACAAGAAATCTGCAAGCAGTTGGAAGAACCAAAAAAACAGAAACACGGCTATAGTAGATAGGCTTGTAAGATCTTGGAAGTGAAGCCACTCTGAATCGTCGAGCTAAGTGTCCTTGAGCAGTCGGAACCTTCAGCAATCTTGTCAAGGCAAGGTATACAGTATACAGTAACTATCAGTCTTTAGGCGTCTCAAAACTCTCCTCCCTCTCTCATCATTCTCTCCGCATCGCTATCTTTTCAAAGCATTGCAACACCACGACTAAACCATCATAGCTCCGAAGCCAAGGAACGCTTCATCCGCGCAGACCCGCTGTTCAAGCTGGTGGCGCTTTTTGGCGACATCGGTTAGATTGTTCAGCTTATTGCTGACCTCCTCTGAAAAGCCTAGAGCCGCCAAAGGATGTGTATTTAATTACATGACACTACATGTAATTACACAAGTCTGATGAAACAAAATCCAAACATCTTATGAATTCTGATGAAAGGAATTGTCAGGGACAGGAAATTGAATTTTGCCCAGGCCACGCTCCATCATGTACGAGGATTTGCCTTCAGAAGGTTCGTTGATGCACCTTCACGGGAAGCTCCAGACACGTCTTGCAAGAAAAACAATACGGCCCGGTTCAAGGCCTAGCCAACAACATCTTGAGATTCACTTCAGTCTCAATGGCCGTTTCACCTGTGACGTAAACTGATTCTCAAGCAGTGCGTGATGTACTAGGTCGGGCGTAGCGGCATAGCTACAGTGCCTTCCTTGCACGGTGTGTTGAGACGATCAGGACAGCATCGATGCTGAGCCATGGGCCAAGCTCTTTCTGCTTGCGCTGGTTCCTGGGGGCAAACGATTCTCGTCTGATTCCAGGATCTCTCTTCCCCTTCATTGCCACTCTTGAAGTGTTTTAGGGAAACTCGTGGATATTGATTTGTTTTCAATCAGCTAATGGATGGCGGAAAGAATGCACTAGTCACTAATTAGTCGTTCGGATTCACAGTGCTGCTAAGCATCTGCGACTTCGTGACATTGTCTATGAACACCGCCTCACACAGGACATGTCAAGTTTTTTCGGGCAGGATTGAAGTGCACATCTCAAGCAAGCCCCGAGAAAATGATACGGTCAAGACTGTCAAGATCTGTCAAGCAATATCAAGGGGCAAGCAGCAAGGGCACAAGCGCGGGACAAACCATGCAATCCTTTCTTGATTCTCTGAGACAGCAGCCATGATAAGGTTGAAAAGACCTTCAGCAAGCCACAGCGCTCAAAGGCACACTTGTGCGCTCAATCGCACCACCGGAAGTTCCTTCCGGCCTACGGTGATCATCATGGTCACAAGGACGTAGGCTGCATGAAATAGCAGCTGCTGCCTTGAATACACGTGTTGGAGCATAGGGAGAATAATTTCCTCGTATATAGCATGAAGTGTTTCCTTCGCCTGCTTTCTCAATTGCAGTACGTCTTTTCATTGCCGAATCGCTCCCCGCCGAGCTTTGCATAGATCCTCTCGGGAATAGGGTCACCACTATACGTCTCGCATGCTTCGGTGAAGCACCGGAACAAAGTAAACATTCCAGCCTCGCGATGGTACATGTCACGACTACCACTCTGTTCACCGCTAAATATCCACTTTCTGTTTCCACCTTGAACAAATGAACTATCATAAGGCTCCCACGCCGACAGTGCTGAACTCTTCCTCGTCTTCCAGGAGAGACTTCGTGATAATACTTACCGTATAGATGATGACCTTATCTCGCGATGGCACAAACAACACAGGCATTCACAGGCACTTTGGCCAGAAATTGTATTGTTCATATTGATTTGGTACTTGCAGGACAGGTGCCAACAGCAGAACAACCGCCCATATCAATGCCCGAATGCCAGAAAGAAGGCCCATCGCCATAAGTTTGAGTTCCTCCAGCTTCAATAGCCAGAGTCAGAGGCAGTTGCAAGCAGCAGTGAACGAAGGTAATGGACCAATATGGATCACTCCTTGAACATCTTAAAGCGCATGATGCGTACTAAGCGAAAAAGTCTGGCAAGTCTCAGCACCTCACAGCTGCACAACGACTTGACTATTGGTGAATCACTCAGTGAAGTGCAGCAACGTTACGTTGCAAACCAAATCTAAGACGATTGTTTCACAATTCAATGCAAGTTTGATCAGAGTTGTCGATGTGATCCTCTAGATTCTACTGGAACTCACGCCAAACACCGACCAAAGGCCTTCAATAGATTCAGCTGGCTGCCCCCCGTAGTGCCAGCCGCCAGTTTCAGGAGCAGCTCCTTAGACTCAAGTGTACCCATTGTCGGAAAATTAAGCATTCAAAAATCAATATTAATATATAATATATAGATTTATCAATGTGTTCAATCATGAACATGGCACGACGAGCTTACTGTCCAAGGCACAACCGCCGACAAGAGCAAGCAGAAAAAATCAAACAAGTTCCACGTCCAGTCAGCACCACCTGCTGTGCAAATGTGGCTGGTCATCACAAAATCAGATTGTTGTCCCGGTGTCGAACAACGGTTTCCTCTGCTTCTTGGATTCTCAACCAAAAGAAGTGCTGTTGGCATGGTAGGACTCGGAAGCAGGTTCTTAACACATTCTAACGCCCGTTCAAGCTGGTGGCCAATTGGTAACGAGAAGTGAGACATGACAAGTAGAAACGAAAGACAATGCCACAGTGCGTGACCGCAGAAAAATAATCCTTGCCAATCCACGGTCCATGGGTGGTACCACTTCCAAATCTATAGAAGAATCTGTACATAGACTACTTAGGAGGCGAGGGCGACCCACCTCGGCCAAGATTACTTTTGGTAGTGTGAGATCCGAACGATGCTACTTGATTCCATTTCTCCATGGCTGTCAATTTCAGTATTGTGGGCAGGCTGGGTACCTTGATGATGATTGTGGACAGAAACTACTTTGAAATCCTCCCCCACCTGTTGATAACTATTGTGCTACCCACCTACCACCTGTTTTTCAGCAAACATTTTGTAGTGCACACTGTTCTTTCAGAGGGTAAGGCCACCCATGGCCACCCTTCAAACAGATTATAATGTATGTAGCTTTAAATTACAATATATTACAATATAGATTTGGTACGAGTGATGCTGAAACCCAGCTGAAGGCTGAAGACTTGGTCTCCAAAACTCCTGCCCTCTTGCGAGGACAATCCGTCTGATCCAAAGAGCAAACAGTTCGGATCCAATCAAACAGAAAAACCTTGGTATTGGTATGTCGTCTAGATTTGCTGTGGCGTGACACTGACGGCCACAGCCTAAGCCAACCGTGGGAACTGCAACGTCCTGTTTTGCGGTCTGCTATTGGCGCTCTGGCCCAGCTCAGGTACCAAGGCCGGTGCAAAATACGTCTGGCATACGTGTGGCAAAAAAAGCATGTTTTTACGCAAGCCAAGCCACAAAAGTAAGTGCTCACCCCCCACCATATATTCTTCACGATGCACTCTGCCAAATAGATGGTAAAGAACACCTCGTCAATAATAACACATGCAACGTTTTGATGCCAATATGCTGTCTGTGCACAGTGCTGAACCTAGCGATGATCGGCAGTGTGCAGTTGGGGCACCAGCTCCAGAACTTCCCAAAGCCCGGCATTGCCAGGATTATCCGCACTTATACCGATCACAAGAGCGTTCAAAGAAATGACAATGACAATGCCAACGTCCATGGCCTTAGTTTCACTTGTTGCACGGCATGCCCAGTTCAGCACTGGCATCTGAAAATGTGATGAACTTTGCCCTTCCCTTGGTCGCCTCCTTCAGCAAAGCAGTTCGCTGACGCTGATTGAACTTCGCCTGTATGCAAACCCTTTGTCATGTGCATGCTGTATTCGTATATGGTAGACGGTACACTCCAAAACTATCTCTAGAACATTGTAGCAGTGATGCAAGAGCTAAATAGTTTCAACATCACACACTGCATCAGCACCACAGTTAGCGCCTTGCTGGTTTCGAAAACATGATTGTCAGATTCGTCTTCCAAAGCTTTCTTCAGTGCTAGAAGCGTACTGGCAATTTCCGCAGGCGCCTGTGACACTGAGTCTGGAAGATCACCAACAAAAAAAAACTTTGTCGAAACAATAAAGGAACATGTTTAAACAATTTAGATATGTGATATGTGTAGTTATACTTGTCCTCCTCGATGAATATGGCATCAGAGCCTCAATACGCATCCGATTGGGAAACGCGGAGAAAATTGGTCTGTGTCTCTCACATTGGGATGGCCAATCTCTGTCAATAATATCTGTCAATGTATTGGTGGCCTGGTAGGGAACGAGAATGTGTGCCCCAATCCACGCTACAGAACTTTTACAGTAATATCTTTCCTTGTTGACCCCGATGGTGCCATCAGCGGACTCAAACCTTCTCAAAATCAAAACTTAAGCTCCAGACGAAGTCGGATGAAACCTTTTCGATCACATTCTCCGCTTTTCAACTGGCAACGTGGGGGCGAGATTTACAGCGTGATACGAGTAGGAGCCAAGTGGGCTTCTTGAGTCATGCGCCTTGCCTTGCTGGGGCCTTTTTCATTCGGGACCTGACAATGGAAACCAAACCAATGATTGGAAGATCCTTGATGCATCTTCAACCGGTGCCAAGCAAAGTGAGACGAGACACGTCCGGCAAGCCAGTATTGATGTAATTCACTGCGTTCACCACACTCTTAACGGTCACTTGCTGACCTCAATTCAAGCCATGGATGAGATTTCATGAGATTTCAACAGAACTGACTTCAGGACTTCAGGATAGTTGCCGTTGCTCTTTGCTCAAATTGTATCGAAGCCGACTATGGATGTCGCTCCGCAAAAAAACGAAACAACAAAGCTCTGGCGTTGCGGCTGAGGAACCATTGGTGATTGCTATGGCTGCGAGCTCTTGTGCTGAGAGGCATCCTTGCCGTGGAAAATGATTGCTTTCTCCGATCGGGCACCAGAGTCAGAGTAATTATAAAGAGGGAGAGAGAGCGAGAGAGAGAGAGAGAGGAGCTGTGTAACAAATTGAGGAAGCAACACTATTTTGGAGTGTTGTGCTCTTACGGCATGTTCTGGTTCTTGCACTTGCAAAAACGACTTATGAAACGGCAGCCGCACACACACACACACACACGGACAATATATACTTGCAGGTATGGTAGGCAGGTCTTAGGTGGGTGGGTGGGTAAGTACCCAAGCGTTCGGTACAGTCAAATGCCTTGACGTGCACAGTTTTGAAGGGGCCACCATAATTCGGAACTCTTCCAGTCAGGCCACAACTTTTGGGAGCCCAACACGTGTTGCCCGCCAAATAGCGCTCTCAAACATCGTCTTCTTGGCTTCGATTGATTTTTGATTTGGCTAAATTTGGCCTTTGTTTTCGGATTCTGCTTTCAGCCAGCATTGTAAGTTCTCAACCAGCCATCCACTGATTAAATTTCCCCATAACAATATCAAAGTGCATTTCGTATTATTCGATATTATTCAGAAAAAATCATCCTTGCACCCAAGTAAATACGCCAAAGCCAGCTTGGTATGAGACTACATTTGGGGGCCACTTATTGTAAGGATATCCTTCCTTTGTAAGGAATATAGGTTGCAAGGATCGTTCTCTGTATAAAAGCTAATAAAGGCTCCCCCTCTTCTTGGTCAGTTCTTAAGTTCTTATGTCCTATATGTTCCTACCTACGATGAGGTGGTGAATGAATTCTCTTCCATCTGGTCTGGCTTCTCTTGTGTGCTTAAGTAGCTTCAGCCTTTTTGCCCGTTTCTCAGTATTCCAAAAAATGCAATATCTATATAAAGGATGGGCAACAAATCAGAGAAGCTACTTAGTCACTTAGTCAAAACAAAGTCAGCCCCTTTGTGAAGTCGTAACAGTGTCAAAAAGTAACAGGAAGAACTAAATGAGAAATGGTGCCCAATTGAAGCATACTCATTACCTTCGGGCTCAAAAGCTCAGGGTCTCGTGGAGGACAGGCCTCCCGGGACTACGGGTCTCGGCCACCAGCCGGGAACGTAGTGTCTACAAGGGCACTGACACCCAGGCCCAGCCATTTGTGCGGTCTGAAGGTTTCCCTTAGATTCCTGCGGCTTAAGCAATGGATCGTTTTCCCGCGCTTACGACTGTCGAGGAACCGTTTCGCTCTCGCATGACTGCCTTTCTCGATGCTGCAAGGCATGAAGGTCTTTTCCGTCGGTTCGGGGATGAGCTCATGTGTGTTGGCGAAGCAGTTGGGATTTGTGGGAATGTGATTGACACGAAGTTGTTCAAATTCTTTCCTGGCAAAGGTTGGTGCTTGGATGATGCCTGTGAGTCCCGCTACAGCATTTCCATTCCCGACCTTGAGAAGCGACCGACCAATTTCTTTGTTGGCGCACATTTTGTCTGCAAGGGAATGGTGTCCCATGGTGGCTGTTCCAATACTGTTCACTTTGACACCAACGTGGCCATTTGCACCAGACCGACATTTGATGCCGACATGACCTGGTCAGTCATCCACTTGTTTTCAGGCTGGGGCCAAGCCATGGCTTGGATCAACACGAGTGACCTAGCAGTGAACATCGGACAACAGCTGGACATTGATTGTGCACCTGAGGTCATTCACCACAGGACAAACTCGCTGTGTGTGGACATGTGGCCGATTCTTCCCTTTTGAATCTTTCACAATGTCAGCTGAACTTAATCGTTACCATGTCACCGCCCTGCCAGAGCTGGTCGAAAGCCGGCCTAGGGAAAGGACTGTCATCAGCAAACGGGCTTGCTTTTGCGGAAGCTCTTGTACAGGCATTTGGGTTCCAGACTCTCTTGATCCTGGCCGAATGCTCTGACGAGATCAGCCGGCACGACCATTTTAAGCTTTTGACCGACTTGGCACGCCTGTTCGGCTATCGTTTGATTTGGTCACAAGACACCATTCTGCATCAGGTCTCTCCTCAGAGTGGCTAGGAGCATGGGCTAGGGCTGACCTCGATGCCAGGCCTTTCGATGTCCGCCTCACTCCATCATGCCTGCCTCGTGTTCACTGGTCGCACGACTCGTTTGAGTTCGCCCTGCCCAGGACATGGCTCGACCAGATGCTGCTCTCAGATATGGAGAAGAAGATTTATGGGGACATTCGATTCCTTCCATCGGCAAAGGCAGCGTCCCTTGGCAGTGCACCGACTGTCACTCAGGTCCTTATGGCCCGTTTGGTCCATGAGCATGAATTGATGCCCACGCTTTGTGCCTCGTACACAGAGCAACATTTGCTCGCTCCACAGCATTTGGCCCGCAAGGGTCTTTTCGCGGCCTTGCAGTTGCTTCCAGCCGGTTTTGCCTTCTTCGACCCTGCCAGGTTCGTCGCCTTGCTGGGGGCTTTCACTGACCAAGCTCTACCGTCCAAGCTCTCAGAAGCCTTCCGCTTGGTGGGCAACGCCATCGCTGTGCCGCACTCCCTGCTCACCATTCTCGTTGGACTTCAATCCATCCTGCCCATCCGCATCGACATCTTTGATCAAGTGCGGACATGTTGGACTTCAACGCTTTGGTCTTCCAGGATGGCCCTTGGGTACACATAGCAAGGCACTGCAATTGTCCCCAGTTCATTCAGCTTCGCACCGACTGCCCGCAAGACGGGGACTACGAGATCCACATTCGCCTGCATCAGGGCAACCATGCCCTCATCACCTTTGCCACGGCGACAGACACCATAGGCCGGTGCATTGACATCGCGTTTGACGCTCCTCATATGCTGCGCCGCTTCATCACTGTCACCTTCGATGGTCAACCATGTGAGCAAGCCACTTGCATCACAGAATGCACAGCCCACAGCACACCGGGCACACTCCACATCGGAAGCACGGCATTTGGCACTCTTTTTGTTCAGGATGAGCCGGCGCCACCCGCCAAGCGAATGAAGCAACACAGCACCAACCTGATTGTCTCCCCCACAATGCCCTACAGCATTCAAGAGGAGACTTCACCAGCAGTGGTCCCCAGTTCCTCAGGCCACTTTCGAGCAAGCCATCCGACACCTCACCAGTATTGGGCTTTTCCCGCTTTTTGAGCAATGCCAGATCCATCCGTCCAGCCAGGCCCGCAATTTCACATTGCTCCTGCCCAGTGAAGGGATTTCCTACTCGTGTTGGATCCCTGCCTGTGACCACGACCATTTCGTGCACAGTGTACGAACCACTGCCAAGACCACCATCGGTCTCTACAAGCAATACATCAACGAGCACATCCACTCTGCCATTGCCATTTGGCAACCGGATCCCAGAGCAGAACATCGATGCATTCTCCTCCGCACTGAGGACGAGCCGGCGATTTGGGCCTGCCTGCATCCACCAACCTTACAGTTTGGTACCCAATTCCAACTTGGCAGCCGAGCTTTTGGAATCATCAATGTCAATGGCTCCCCTTTCAAGGCAGACCATGGCCTTTCCAATGGAGACTTCCTCACTTTGCAACCACAATCCGCCATTCGAGCGGGTGGACATCATGGTGGTGGTGCGCCCTTACAGCTCCCTCAGGATGCGGACTTCACCCAGAGGGCGGAGTTTGCGGCCAACACGCACGGCTGGCTTGCTGCAGACGAAATGTCCTTCATTTGTCAGTCTCTGGCCTGGACTCCTGGTGCAACTCTGCATTTCTCACCACCAGTATACTGGGACATCAACAAGTCAGAATTTGACGAAGGTCCGTTTGGACCTCCCATTGTGTGGGAAACGGGCCAGACCAACATCCCCATCCTTGCTGGAAACCACTGGTGTGGCATTGAAGTCGTCAAGTCACCACCGTCCATGTGCCTGTCAGGCTCCAAACCAGAATCATCCTGATTCTTGCCAGAATGATTGACGTTGGACCACACCGCACGCAAATCGAGTACGATCACCCTGATCACACACCACATTTGTGTGGCTGGCAGCTGGGCCACCCAACTTGGCGTGCAACACAACATTGCTGAATTTGATGCCCAGGCACCCACCAGCCCTCAGCACACCGACCAGATCAATCTGGTTATGCAGGCCTCCATCGAAGATTGGATCAGAGCTGAGGCACCACTACACCTCCAGAACTTTGCCACAAGGCTGCGCCGGCACTTCTTTGTTGCCCTGGCTCGCAGGCATGACAGAGCTGGGCTCACCAATCAGAGACCTCTGGCCACTGCAGTAGACTTCCAGCCCCAGCCAGCTCACCAACCACAGGTGGCGTATAATCTCCAGCTGAACCACATCCATGAGCGTATCATCACTCGGCTCCATGGGCTCAACATCCACCCGGCATGGGCCTGTTCCGATGAGATCAATGCTGTGCTTGATCTTCCTCGCAAGATTCTGCCAGACACCATGTTCTGCCAGCCAGCCATCTGGGACAGTGTTGCGGATAGCCTCATCTATCCAAACACGCCGCCTCCCAACATCCAACCGTACCGACATGTTGTGTGGCCCATTATGGAGAACAATCACTGGATGTTGGCAGAGTGCTACAAGGATGACAGGCGAGCTCAGTTCTTCCTCACAGCCCCGCCTAATTCCACAGGACGGCTCCTACCCATGATTCAGCACCTGCGCACCGCCCTGGGATGTCAGAGCCAAGACTTCCTGTTGCACTGTCACTGTGCAGACCAAACCAACCCACACGGTCTCTGCGGGCAATACATCGTGGCCGAGATCTATCACCGGATTGGCATTCAGATCCCACCATTGTCCACCAGCCAGGAGCTTGAGATCCAGACTTCCCCGCATGCTGCACTCATTGCAACTACATTGCAACAAGCTAGGGACGCTTGGGCCAGGGCCCTCGCTCCCCCAGACCTGCTGCATTTTGCGGACACCATGCGTCGGCATCATCTTCTCAACATCAGCAGGAACCTGTTCCCACAGCAAACCTTTGCGGCAGCTGCGGGTTCCAACATGGACACCCCAGCCAGCCATCA